ATAGCATATCTGAAATGGACAGTAAGGGGGTGGAGGGATAGGTATAGTAGAGAGTGAAGTGAAAGTATGCCAGTCAGCTCTATCGAAGCACCAGCGTGGAGGATTAGGAAAGTGGTACATATGAAGTAGGAGAAAGAAGTATTGGGAAGTGGTCACTATAGGGGGAAGTGGTCTAGAACTGACCAATGGAAATCTAGATGTAAAGTAGGAGAGCATAGAGAGAGGTCAAGGCATGAAAAGGATTGTGTGCGCATGTCAAAGTGTTGTGGGGCGATCTGAATTAAGAATAATTAGGTTATTTTGTGAAGAGGAAGCGTTCTAGAGATCGGCCTCGGGAGTTGGTGGTAGAGTCACCCCACAGAGTGTGGCGGCAGTTGAAATCACCAACTATGAGGAAAGGTGGTTGGAGTTGGGAAATTAGAGTGTCAAAGGCAGTAAAGTCAATGGGATGGGATGGGGAGAAGTAGACTGAAATCACTGTGATCCAGCGGCGAAGAAAGATGCGAATAGCTGTGCACGGGACGAAGTTTGTATGGGAGGTATGACATAAGGTGTTTTATGATGGATAAGTATAGACGAGACATAAAGGGAGTGTGGGGAAGAGATAAAATGGTAATTAGGAATTGGAATAGGAAGGGTGTGTGTGAGGAAAGTCTCTTGGAGGCAGATAATAGATGGATTATAAGAAGCAAGGATATGACGTAGGTCTGATCTATGAGAGCGGAAACCGCGAATATTCCAATGTAGGAGAGCTATACCCTAGTTGATTTATGAATGATAACACATTTACGTGTTGGGGAATTTGAAGGGGAAGGAGCTAGGGGTGTAAAGGAGGGATATTAGGAGGTAGGGAGTCTGGAGAAGGGCATTGTTGTGCCATGAGTGATTCTCGTGTGTATCCTGGAGGGAGTGCAAAGGATAGAGGGGATGGAGGGAGGGAGAATGTGCCTATAGTTGGGGTTGAAGGGGGTGGGTTGTGTTGGGAGGAGTAGATGTGTGGGGAGTGCTAGTGTTAGGAGGATGAATATCAGAAGGATGGATAGTTGGAGTTGAAGGGGATGTGTTGTCTTGGGAGGGATTAGGAGGAAAGGGTGTAGGGGTGTTTGTGAGTAAGAGGGGGATGCATATCAGAAGGATGGGTATTGGGAGGATGGATATCAGTGGTGGTTGGGATTGAGGGGGTTAGGTTGTGTTGGGAGGGAGTAGGAGGAAGGGGTGTAGGGGGAATATTAGTAGGAGGGTTATGAATATCGGCAACCACTTCAAGGTGGAAGGAGCATGAGTTATGGGATTTTGTGTCTCAAGCATATAGCTTTGAATGTCATCCATTGTTTCTGCAGTGGAGTTTGTTGGAGAGTTTTGTGAGAAGGTAATTGTTTCTGCAATGGAATTGGTTGGAGAGTTTTGTGGAATAAAGGTTTTCTTATGAGGGGGGGAAGAGGAGACTGGTGTCTCAGGAACAAAGGTATAGGTAGGTGGAGGTGATTGTGCTGTAGGGGAAGAAGGGTTAGAACGTTTAGTCTGTCTACTGCGGGTAGTGCGGGAGGGAGAGGGGTTGGTTTGTTGGGCTGTAGTTGAGATAGGAGCTGTGGTTGAGATTGGGGTGTCTGGGTTTAGAGTGGCAAAGGAATTGGTCTGAGGATGTAGAATGTAGAAGTGGAAATGGGGACATTTTTGGGTGGAGGGGGAAGGGCTGAGCGAACGATGTTGCTAGAATATGGAGTATGAGAGAAACCTTGTCGACGTGCTTCCTGTCTGGCTTCACGTAAAGTGAGACCATTTTTGTATCTGAGAGTTGCTACCTCAGATTCAAATTTGTAAGTGGGACAGCCTCTATAAAATACATTATGGGGGCCGCCGCAGTTAGCACATGTTCGTGTTTTGTGCTGAGCAGTTTGATCGATTATGACCAGGTTGGGCACATATGGGGCATCGGTCTGTGGAACGGCAATGTTTGGCAGGATGTCCAAAGCGCCAACAGTTTTGACATTGACGTGGAGGGGGTTGGTATGGTCGAACAGGGAGGGATTGTCCACCAATGTAGATACGTAAGGGAAGGTCATGTGTACAGAAGGTAATTTTGGCAATATTGGTTGGATTCTTTCGTTGACCTTTAGGAGGAATGGTGTAGCAATGTACTGATTTCACATCTTGGTCTTTGAGGCATCCTAATAAGTCTTCTCCACAGTCTGACCAATCTTTGGTATCGACTGGGGCAGTTTGCTGGGGAGAGAGAGACAGTTCCGGTACAGGTATTAAGGGTTGCATGAGGTTCTGCAGGAATGGGGTTGCCAGAATGATCAGTTAAATTTGACAGTGCTATAGATTCAGTTTCTGATCTGACTGTTACCAGACGGGAGCGATCGCGTCTGGTATAGAAAGGGACTCTACCTACTTGTTTTTGGAGGCATTGTTGAAAGAGAAGAGTGTTGCCTGAGTAAGGAGCTGTAGCAGGGATCACGAAAAATCGGTCCCATTTAGCTGGGCTAAACAGAGTATTTAAGATATCTGTAGGGTTGGTGGTGGTGGATAGTCGGGGACGTGTGGAAGAGGGAGTATTACGGAATGATGGAGAATAAGGTTGCAAGGTAGTAATAAGGGAGGATTGGGTTGTTTGATGAAGGTTGCAGGGGTGGAGTAGAATTTGAGGAAGTTGGGTGGGTAGGAATGTCTTCTGGAGATTGATTCTCTGCTTGGGTGGGTAATGCACTAGTAGGCATTGAGGAGTGGGCAGTAGTTTCAGTGTTCGGAGCCGTGGTCAAAGGAGAGCCTGGGTTGGGGCTATTTGATAAAGGGGCTAGCCTCATAGCCTCTAATAAAGGGATTACATTCTCATTATTGGTCATGGGGAACCTGGATTATGTAAATAGGCCTATTCGGTCCACCTCCTTTCGCTACTGAAGGTAAGGGCTAGATTAGTCAGGAGTACCGTGCCCATAGTTCCCGCAGGCCGTTCAGGACTGGCACTAGGTCAGCCTTTCATCCTCTCAGCACGGCTCTCACACCTTAGGAAGTAGATAGCAGAAGGGGATGGAGAAGAGACGGAAACAAAAGCTGGAGAAAAAAAAAGACCATGCAAAATTAGTTGAGTCGAGGGCTGAGGCCCTAGGCAGGGGAGATCCCTGTATTGGGTCTCAGTCTTCGTCTCCTAAGCCCCCCCACGACAACAACGGGCAAGGGATTGGGGGGGGGAGCCAGTGGGGCTATTTGATGAAGGGGCAAGCCTCATTGCCCCTAATAGGGGTATTACATCTTCATTCCTGGCCATGGGTATCCTTGATTATGTAAAGGGACAAACAGTCCAACCTCCCAGTGCCCTGTAGGGGGTTAGGACAAGACAATCAAATCAGGGGAGTATGGTGCCCATGGTTCCCGCAGGCCGTTCAGGACTGGCACAAGGTCAGCCTTTCATCCCTTCAGCACGGCTCTTACTCCTTAGGAAGTAGATTGTAGAAGGGATGGAAACAAAAAGCTGGAGGGGGAAAAGACCATGCAAAATTAGTGGAGTCAGGGGCTGAAGCCTAATGCAGGGGAGATCCTCACATTGGGTCTCAGTCCCTGTCTCCTAACCCCCCCCCACAACAACAAAAGCAAGAAGACCAAAAATCAGTATTGGAAAAAAAAAAAAAAAAAAAAAAAAAAAAAAAAAAACTGAGGATCCTTTTAAAGAAAAACAATCTAAACTGAGAGAATAAACATTTCTGTATTATTCATATCTTAATCAAAGGATACCCAACTAGACATGGGAGAAAATAAAAACCATTTTTGTAATATCCTTATTTAACATTACATCCTTACATCTACTTGTAAAAAGTACAAACACTGACACAAACTCGCATACAACATGCGTACTGACATCACATTGTCCACGGCATGAGACCTTTAACAGTTTAGCAAGGCTTTCAAGACCAAAAAGGACTTTAGTGGAACTGCTTTTTTTTGTCTCTTGATTGGAAAGCTGGCAATAAAAAAATAAAGATTATTCTTTACAATATAAACTTTATAACAACAAAAACCTTTAACGTAATTCTTTTTTTTTTTCTTTTTTCTTTTTTTGGAATGCTCTCCATTCAAGTGGAGTGGGAGACATAACTATTGAAGTACTGTCCTTGGTAAAATTTAGATATCCAATTTTTTTTTCTTCTATAAAATATGCCCATCTCTGAACACAGGAAATCCCAAGCACAATTATGACCATCACTAATCAGGCATTTGGAACAATTGGATTTCTTGTCAAATTAACAATCATAAATCTGATTGTTTCTTGTCTTTCTGTTCTTGCTATTTAAAGCCACGTCTGATTTCAGTGCAGTTCAGAAGCCAATATTAAATGTCATCCCAGCACCACAGACACCAAGATGGAGAAGAAAGGAATCCAGCAGTCTGCCTTCGTGTTCCACACTGCACCGAACCAAGTCCAGTGTGGAATTATAAATATTATTGCACACCTCAGAGACCTGCAAGTTAATCTTGCAAGTAGATCACTATAAAAATCATTTCAGTCACAAGTTAAGTTCATCCCAAAGTTGCTTGCACCATTTTCCCTATTTTTTTTGTTAGCACAAGAACATTTACATCTTTATCACTGTCTCTCTAAGAATGACCAGTTCGCTGGGACAATCTAGAAGAGAAGAGTACTCATACTGCCCATCTCACTCTGTTCTTTGACGAAGATCTCAAAGTACTGGTAAATGATGGTGACAGCCAGCAAGATACCTGGAACAAGGGAATAACATATGAAAATCTTAACATTGTCAGCAAAAAAAAAAAATTCTATCAAAATCAAACCACCCATTTGCTAACAGAAATTTCATAATTCAAACTATAATTATTGTTTAAAACTACAATTCTAATCATATAGTAATGCAACGAGTGAAGCAAGAGTTACTTTAATATAGGCCAGAAAATTATTGTTAAAGAATTAACAAATTACAAACACAAACCTGTGCCCGAGCCAATTGCACCGAGGAAATCTGCCAAGACAGAAAGCGCACCAATGCATAGGCCACCAAAGGCTGCTGCCGTTGGAATGTAGCGGTTCAGTTCATGGATCATGGACTTTTCCCGATGGCCGCGCATCACCATCTGCTGTTCCTTCAGCTGCTTGGCCACCTGGAAGGGGGTTTTGCAATCAGATATCAAGAGGGATAACCTCGAGACACAGACTGAGACAGACAGGCAGACAAAAAGAAAGACAGACAGACAGGCAGACAAAAAGAAAGAAAGACAGACAGGCAGACAAAAAGAAAGACAGACAGACAGGCAGACAAAAAGAAAGAAAGACAGACAGGCAGACAAAAAGAAAGAAAGACAGACAGGCAGACAAAAAGAAAGAGACAGACAGACAGACAGACAGACAAAAAGAAAGAGACAGACAGACAGACAGACAGACAAAAAGAAAGACAGACAGACAGACAGACAGACAGACAAAAAGAAAGAGACAGACAGACAGACAAAAAGAAAGAGACAGACAGACAGACAAAAAAGAAAGAGAAGACAGACAGACAGACAAAAGAAAGAGAGACAGACAGACAGACAAAAGAAAGAGAGACAACAGACAGACAAAAAGCACAGACAGACAAAAAGAAAGAGACAGACAGACAGACAAAAAGAAAGAGAGAGAGACAGACAGACAAAAAGAAAGGCAGACAGACAAAAAGAAAGACAGACAGGCAGACAAAAAGAAAGACAGACAGGCAGACAAAAAGAAAGAGAGAGACAGACAGACAGACAGACAAAAAGAAAGAGACAGACAGACAGACAGACAAAAAGAAAGAGACAGACAGACAGACAGACAAAAAGAAAGAGAGACAGACAGACAGACAGACAAAAAGAAAGAGAGACAGACAGACAGACAGACAAAAAGAAAGAGACAGACAGACAGATAGACAAAAAGAAAGACAGACAGACAAAAAGAAAGACAGACAGACAGACAGACAAAGACAGACAGACAAAAAGAAAGACAGACAGACAGACAGACAAAAAGAAAGACAGGCAGACAAAAAGAAAGACAGGCAGGCAGACAAAAAGACAGACAGGCAGGCAGACAAAAAGAAAGAGACAGGCAGGCAGACAAAAAGAAAGAGACAGGCAGGCAGACAAAAAGAAAGACAGACAGACAAAAAGAAAGACAGACAGACAGACAAAAAGAAAGAAAGACAGACAAAAAGAAAGAAAGACAGACAGACAGGCAGACAAAAAGAAAGACAGGCAGACAGGCAGACAAAGAGAAAGACAGACAGACAGACAGATAGACAAAAAGAAAGACAGACAGACAGACAGACAGACAAAAAGAAAGACAGACAGAGACAGACAGACAGACAAAAAAGAAAGACAGACAGACAGACAGGCAAAAAGAAAGACAGACAGACAGACAGGCAAAAAGAAAGACAGACAGACAGACAGGCAAAAAGAAAGACAGACAGACAGACAGGCAAAAAGACAGACAGACAGACAAAAAGACAGACAGACAGACAGACAAGACAGACAGACAGACAGACAGACAGACAGACAGACAAAAAGACAGACAGACAGGCAAAAAGAAAGACAGACAGACAAAAAGAAAGACAGACAGACAAAAAGAAAGACAGGACAGGCAGACAAAAGACAGACAGGCAGGCAGAAAAAAGACAGACAGAAAAAGAAAGAGACAGGCAGCAGACAAAAAGAAAGAGACAGGCAGGCAGACAAAAAGAAAGAGACAGGCAGGCAGACAAAAAGAAAGACAGACAGACAGACAAAAAGAAAGACAGACAGACAGACAAAAAGAAAGACAGACAGACAGGCAGACAAAAAGAAAGACAGACAGACAGACAAAAAGAAAAGACAGGCAGACAGGCAGACAAAAGAGACAGACAGACAGACAGACAGACAAAAAGAAAGACAGACAGACAGACAGACAGACAAAAAGAAAGACAGACAGACAGACAGACAGACAAAAAGAAAGACAGACAGACAGACAGACAAAAAGGAAGACAGACAGACAGACAGACAAAAAGAAAGACAGACAGACAGACAGACAAAAAGAAAGACAGACAGACAGACAGACAAAAGAAAGACAGACAGACAGACAGGCAAAAAGAAAGACAGACAGACAGACAGGCAAAAAGAAAGACAGACAGACAGACAGACAGAAAGACAGGACAGACAGACAGAAAAGACAGACAGACAGACAAAGAAAGACAGACAGGCAAAAAGAAAGACAGACAGGCACAGACAGGGAAAGACAGACAGGCAAAAAGAAAGACAGACAGGCAAAAAGAAAGACAGACAGACAGACAGACCAGACAGAGACAGACAGACAGACAAAAAGACAGACAGACAGGCAAAAAGACAGACAGACAGACAAAAAGACAGACAGACAGACAAAAAGACAGACAGACAGACAAAAAGACAGACAGACAGACAAAAAGACAGACAGACAAAAAGACAGACAGACAGACAAAAAGAAAGACAGACAGGCAAAAAGAAAGACAGACAGACAAAAAGACAGACAGACAGACAAAAAGAAAGAAAGACAGACAGACAGACAAAAAGAAGACAGACAGACAGACAGAGAAAGAAAGACAGACAGACAGACAAAAAGAAAGACAGACAGACAGACAAAAAGAAAGAAAGACAGACAGGCAGACAAAAAGAAAGAAAGACAGACAGGCAGACAAAAAGAAAGAAAGACAGACAGACAGACAAAAAGAAAGAAAGACAGACAGACAGGCAAAAAGCAAGACAGACAGACAGACAAAAAGCAAGACAGACAGACAGAGACAAAAAGCAAGACAGACAGACAGAGACAGACAGACAGACAGAGACAAGAAGACAGACAGACAGAGACAAAAAGAAGACAGACAGACAGAGACAAAAAGACAGACAGACAAAAGCAAGACAGACAGACAGACAAAACAAGACAGACAGACAGAAAAAAAGCAAGACAGACAGACAGACAACACAGGCAGACAGACAAAAAGAAAGACAGACAGACAGACAGACAGACAGACAGACAAAAAGCAAGACAGACAGACAGGCAGGCAGACAAAAAGAAAGACAGACAGACAGAAAGACAGACAGACAAAAAGAAAGACAGACAGACAAAAAGAAAGACAGACAGACAAAAAGAAAGACAGACAGACAGACAGATAGACAGAAAGACAGACAGACAGACAGATAGACAAAAAGAAAGACAGACAGACAGACAAAAGAAAGACAGACAGAGACAGACAAAAAGACACAGACAGAGAAAAGACAGACAGACAGACAGACAAAAAAAAGACAGACAGACAGACAGACAAAAAGAAAGAAAGACAGACAGACAGATAGACAAAAAGAAAGACAGACAGACAGACAGACAAAAAGAAAGACAGACAGACAGACAGATAGACAAAAAGAAAGAAAAGACAGACAGACAGATAGACAAAAAGAAAGACAGACAGACAGACAAAAAGAAAGACAGACAGACAGACAGATAGACAAAAAGAAAGACAGACAGACAGATAGACAAAAAGACAGACAGACAGATAGACAAAAAGAAAGACAGACAGACAGATAGACAAAAAGAAAGAAAGACAGACAGATAGACAAAAAGAAAGAAAGACAGACAGATAGACAAAAAGAAAGAAAGACAGACAGACAGACAGACAGACAGACAGAAAGAAGAAAGACAGACAGACAAAAGAAAGACAGACAGACAGACAGACAAAAGAAAGACAGACAAAAAGAAAGAAAGAAAGACAGACAGACAGGCAGACAAAAGAAGACAGACAGGCAGACAAAAAGAAAGACAGACAGACAGGCAGACAAAAAGAAAGACAGACAGACAGGCAGACAAAAGAAAGACAGACAGACAAAAAGAAAGACAAAAAGAAAGACAGACAGACAGACAAAAAGACAGACAGACAAAAAGACAGACAGACAGGCAGACAAAAAGAAAGAAAGACAGACAGACAGGCAGGCAGACAAAAAGAAAGAAAGACAGACAGACAGACAGACAAAAAGAAAGAAAGACAGGCAGACAAAAAGAAAAAAAAAAGACAGACAAAGACAGGCAGGCAGACAAAAAGAAAGAAAGACAGGCAGACAAAAAGAAAGACAGACAGGCAGACAGATAGACAAAAAGCAAGACAGACAGACAGACAAAAAGCAAGACAGACAGGCAGGCAGACAAAAGACAGAAAGACAGACAGATAGACAAAAAGAAAGACAGACAGACAGATAGACAAAAAGAAAGACAGACAGACAGATAGACAAAAAGAAGACAGACAGACAGACAGACAAAAAGACAGACAGACAGACAAAAAGCAAGACAGACAGACAGACAAAAAGAAAGACAGACAGACAGACAGACAAAAAGAAAGACAGACAGACAGACAGACAAAAAGAAGAAAGACAGACAGAACAGACAAAAGAAAGAAAGACAGACAGACAGACAAAAAGAAAAGACAGACAGGCAGACAAGAAAGACAGACAGGCAGACAGCAGACAAAAAGAAAGACAGACAGACAGGACAGACAGAAAAGAACAGACAACAGACAGCAGACAGGCAGACAAAAAAAGAAAGACAGGCAGACAAAAAGAAAGACAGACAGACAGGCAGGCAGACAAAAAGAAAGACAGACAGGCAGACAAAAGGAAAGACAGACAGGCAGACAAAAAGAAAGACAGACAGGCAGACAGGCAGACAAAAAGAAAGACAGACAGACAGACAGGCAGACAAAAAGAAAGAAAGACAGGCAGACAAAAGAAAGACAGACAGACAGGCAGGCAGACAAAAAGAAAGACAGACAGGCAGACAAAAAGAAAGACAGACAGGCAGACAAAAAGAAAGACAGACAGGCAGACAAAAAGAAAGACAGACAGGCAACAAAAAGAAAGACAGACAGGCAGACAAAAAGAAAGACAGACAGGCAGACAAAAAGAAAGACAGACAGGCAGACAAAAAGAAAGACAGACAGAGACAAAAAAGACAGACAGACAAAAAAGAAGAAGACAGGCAGACAGAAAGAGAAAGAACAGACAGACAGGCAGACAAAAGAAAGACAGGCAGACAAAGAAAGACAGACAGACAAGGCAACAAAAAGAAAGACAGACAGACAGGCAGACAACAGACAGACAGGCAGACA